GAGCAGAATGAGAACTCACAACAGATGCTGGAACTGTGGTTGTAACCATCAAGCTGCTAAGCACACTCTGAAAGCTCACTGTAAGGCATCCAACAGGAAACATCTTTTGGTGTTGCACGAGATTAAACCAAGAGGGTGAGCAATGAGCCCCCAATCATTAACCACCTTCCTCCAGAGGCTAGGTCTGACCCTAAATTATAGCTGAGCCATGGCTAGCAAGACCTCCACAAGTCTGCACTTGGATTACACTGGCACTGTCCATCTGACATTCTGTCCTACAAACATTTCATATTAGACCACCTTGTAACTACAATGAGATACATCTATGAAGTTTTGGCAAGTCAATAAAATACTCTCGGGTATCTTAACTCATATACCACTACAGCCAAGGTTTTGGTCCAGCGCCTATGGGACAAAGGGAGGAAGTGAGATGGCCCACAGCTATCAGAAGAGCTGCTTCATTCTTGAGAGCTATGGGAGAAGGAACTCCAAGAGCTCAATACCTAGGTGATACTCAAGCCCCAGGCTGGACCACCCAAGCAGTAAAAGAGACCTTCTCATCCTCTGTGATGCCTCTGAGAGGGCATATGGGCCTGTGGCTTACTTAAGGACTGAGAGCTTGACCAGGAAAATGGAAGTCTCTTTCATGACTGCAAGGTCTCGCATCGCTCCCAAGAAACAGCAGTCCATCCAAAGCCTAGAGCTGTGTGTTGCACTGACTGGAGCTCAGCTATGCAAGGTTCTTAACATGGAGTTCACTACAAAATATTTGTGGGATACAAGAGCCTTTTGCAGCATGGTGATATATCCTGTGAGGAGATCAGCTGACATCATCACATGGGGCAAACCTCTCCAGGACCTGAGTAAGAGTAGCAGGAAGAATCACGGGCCATCATACCTGAAGTTGAGCCCTACAACCTGGCCTGACCCACCAAGTTGATTATTTTCCTATAACATCACATCCCCAAAACATCCTGAAGATGCCAGATGTCTATAAACAGTCGTTCCTTCACCAGTCTCTCTATTTTCTCTTTCCCGAAGTTAATAATAAAAAAAAAAAAACTTGCCATGTTACCAAGAAACCTCAAAGCGAAAACTCCTCTGTCCTGAAGATGTCAGATATCTTTAATTTACAGTCTTCCATAAACATTAAATAAACATAAATAAACAGATCTACACACGTTTTTTAATCCATTTATGAGGAGCGTCTGCTGTACACGTCCCTGTGGATGAGCTGTTACTATAGAAACGATAACACATTAAAGCAAGTGCATTAATATAAACCTGGGATTTGCAGCTGCACTACTGTCAGAGCTGCTGTTATAGAAAACTAATCAACACCTTCTGACCAATCACAATCCAGAACTCATCAGCAGTGTAGTGTAACGGTTTTATAAAGAGAAGATGATATAATTTTTTAACTGGAAAGAAGCTCTCTCTCTCTCTCTCTCTCTCTCTCTCTCTGTTGTGTTGTTTTCCGATGATGTTCTCCATCACTAAACTCTCACTTCCTCTCATATAAACCTGCTGTGTTAGAATGCCTGTGATGATCTCAGAGTAAAACAGGATTAAAACTCACATCTTCAGACACAGACGATAATGCAGACGCATAGCGATGAGCTCTGATCATAGCAGTGACAGCTGAGAAAGTTGTGATCCCACAAATCCCAGCACAGGCACAGACACCCACCACAACAAACCCACTGCTATTATTATTATTATTATTATTATTATTATTATTATTTTTGCACAGATGCAGATTCTTGATCAGGTTTCAGAGCCTCCATGTCTGTGCACTGCAAAAAAAATGATAGCAAGTTAAAACATCTTGAATATACTCAAATATATCTAGTATTTATTATTATAAGATTGCAATAAATCAAATATAAGATTATTAAACCCAGTTCTAGACATTTTTACTCATTTCAAGCTTGAAATTCTCTTATTCTATTGCCAAATATTTTTGCTTCTTTCTAGAAATAAATGCTTAAAATTAGCAAAATGATCTGCCAGTAGAAATTATATTCCAAGCTAGAAATTAATAATAAAAAATGTCTAGAACCAGGTTTAATAATCTTATATTTAGTTTATTGTTAGTTTATAATGGGAAATACTTCATGATGTTTTTATTTGCTGTAATTTTTTTGCAGTGTGACCTTGGATAAGGAAGGCAATGAAGATCCCTGGAAATTTGTCATTATTCTGACGGCTCTTTCCAGAATCAGTTCCACAGTAGGGCTGATGATGATCAACACATGAATTAAAAAAGAAAAAAAACCCTGTCTATAGTTCAGCAACTCCAGTTTTGTAAACATGAACCATCACTGCTTCTGTATCAGATCCTCTGTTTCAGTTTATCTAATCACAAGCGTGCATGTAAATTATTTAGCTGAAGGAGCTCATCGGACCAGAGACGAGCTACAGGGCGAGAAACATTCGGAGAGGTTTCACAGATTTTCACAGATTTTTTATTTTATTTACTCTCTCTGGTCTGATTAGCAAACTGCCAACTTGACCTAAAAAAAGATGAGAACAGAAAGTGTAAAGACGAATGGAGAGAGAAGAGCGTTTATTCTCCACTTTAGTTCAGAACAGGCGTCTGATCTGTACAGAGTCCGTGACTCCGGTCAAAAGTGTTAGAGTGAAGTGATGCTACAAAACAAAACATAACCATTTCTCATTGTCTTATTTATATTCATAAACAAATCATTAATAATTAATATAATTTCACTTAGCTGCTTATCTGAATTTTTGTAAGCAACAAATTTCATCAATCTGGACCTTTATAAATTCTTTCATATATATATATGTGTGTGTGTGTGTGTGTGTGTGTGTGGGTTTTATCTTGAGCTGGGTTTTGAATTATTTTATTTTTATTTTTATTTATTTTATTATTTTTTGTTTCCTTTATTCAGGTCCTTTAAGTGTTTGAGGTTTTTTTTTGCTTTATTATTTCAGCATTAATAAAAAGCCTTTTTCTACGAGTGAGAAATTCAAACACAGTTCCTGAGTTCCTCAGGGTTCTATACTGAGACCGATTATATCTACTTTATATTTACCACATTACTGACACCATGATTAATAATAATAATAATAATAATAATAATAATAATAATAATAATAATAACTGTGTTTATAATTACATGTTTTATTTATAGAAACACTTTCTATTTATATAGGGACTTTAAAAAATAACACAAAAACACAAAAGTAAAAGCAGAAGGTTTGTAGAGTGTCCAGAAACACTGGCCGTGTTTAATTCAGGGGTTTTAATGGTTAGTGTTTCTACACACACACACACACACATACTCACGCGCGCACACACACACACACACACACACACACACACACACACACACACACACACTCATGCTCTCACGCTCTCTCTCGCTCTTGATTTGGATAACAATTTAATAAATATCTAATAAATAGACGTAAATATAAATATCTCTCATTTGTTATAGTAAATATTATTATAATGAGTGTTTGTGTTAATTTGTGGTGAGAAACAGGTTTTAGCTCTGAGCGTTAGCATTAGCTATATTTAGTAAAGTTCAGAGTATATTATAATCAGGGAGCGCTTCACTCCGTTTCTCCTGAGCTCCTCTCTCTCTCTCTCTCTCTCTCTCTCTCTCTGTTCTCATTTTATTTCTTTATTTCCTCGTGTGGGGTTTTTTCAGGGTCGCACGCCGTTAATAGCGGAATAGCGATTCATCATTTAATTATGATCTGACAAACGCTCGCACCCCCTCCCTCCCCCCTCCCCGTTTCCCAGCATCCTCCTGCGTTATAATTCGCGGCGGTGCTGAACTGTCACGCGTTCCCCCGGGATTAATTCGAGCTGTCTGTCTGCGCGGCGCTGCCGGCGCTCTCAGGGCGGCGTGAGCGCGACACTGTCAATGAGCACGGCGCGTGACACTTCCTGCGAGCTGCACACGCTCACTCACGCCTGTTTACTCCCCCCGACCCCCACCTCCTCCACCTCCATCTCCACCACCTCCTCCACCACCTCATACCGCTCTATTGTTCCCCCAGTTCTCTTTACGCATTCAGATAAAACCTCTCACATAAACACTTTCATCTCAAACAGTAGGAGAGTTTACAATAGAGAATTATCTCCAAATTCTCTGGTAACAGTGGTGATCAGTGATTGGTCAATGGGGACAATGGTGATCAGTGATTGGTCAATGGGGACAATGGTGATTAGTGATTGGTCATTGGCAATAATGGTGATCGGGGATCAGTCTTTGGCTTTACATGCTGTTGGTGGATCATGATTTATCGTAATTTAAACCCAACCTGTTGATCTGCCACAAAAATTCGAGGCTCATGTTATTAAATCAAGTGAGGGAATAATTTAGTCAGATTTATGGAAACATAAAGCCTGAAACAAATGCATTTCAGTAATTCCAATTATAATTCAGTATAAATCAGAGTTGGAGGCGGGGCTTTCATACAGCGTCACTGCTTTCTGATAGTGCTGTTATGCTTTTATTTAAGGAATCAGGAATGGTTAAAAATCGGATAAAATTAAAGTTATAGTTAAAGTGAAGGTTTATTTTGGCTATGTTTGGAATCCATGTATGTCTGATGCACTTAATTTGCTCACCCTGATGTTTTGCTGTTATCATGAAACTTTAGTGGCTGATCATTTGTTTAAAAACTGGACAGAAGAAAGCCTTTGGTGCTTAGCAGCTCCATGCCATGTGTCTGCTAGCTACCACTGTTAGCTAGACATCAACTCAGAGGACTCTGCAGAACAAATGGTGTTACTGAAGTAAAGTGACGTGTAGCCAAGTGTGGTGACCCATACTCAGAATTTGTGCTCTGCATTTAACCCATCCATGTGCACACACACAGTAGTGAACACACACCCGGAGCAGTGGGCAGTGCTGCGGCGCCCGGGGAGCAGTTGGGGGTTTGGTGCCTTGCTCAACCCCAGTCATGGTATTGAGGGTGGGAGAGAGCGCTGGTCATTCACTCCCCCCACCTACAATCCCTGCCAGATCTGAGACTCGAACCCACGACCTTCAGGTTACAAGTCCGACTCGCTAACCACTAGGCCACAACGAGGAGTGAATATTTAGATGATGCTAAACTGGTGGCTTTTCATTGCTTGTTAGCTAAATTTTCCTCGTAGGTTCAGTGCACAACTAAAGAAACAAACTTCATACACCAAACAATATGTCTCAGCATAATACATTGGAGGTAAGAGTTCAAAGTTTAAGGCTATCAAAATACAGACATAATTACAGCCATTATTAATGCTAATAATAAATTTACAATCCAAAAAACATTAGTAAAGCAGTAGCTAGCTAGGAAGTTAGCAACAGTGCTTTCAGACCTCACATACAGCTTCTTCACCTCAGTGTTCAGTCATTAACAGACAAAACAAGAGAATAAAATGAGCTCTTACAGCTGTCGTGTTCACACAATCAGAATCCATCTTTCGTTGTCATGTCATAACTCTGCAAACTGTGTGCATCCACATACAGAACTTTTACATTAACCAAAACCATCACCAATGGTCAGGAGGGTGGTTACTATGGAGACCTCGATTCTCACAAATCAGACATTGTCACAAAAAACATTATAATCAGAAACTAGAACAAAAAACTAAACAAGGCCAACGAAAGCTCACTAAACTTTCCACAAGCTTAAATACAGAACCGAGAAACAAGGACCAGTCATCACAGACAGGAAGTAATGATCAGAAAAGGAACAGGTGAACTCAATCAGCAGGAAGTGCAAAGATCAACAAAAACAGGAAACCAAAAGACTAAATAAAGAATGTGGAAAGCAAAAAGGGTCATTTGGTGCAAAAAGTGGAAACCAAAAAGGTCATGTGGTGTTTCAGATCGTGGAAAACAAAAAGGGCTCAGAATTAAAACACTGTGTACAAAAGAAAACAGAACACATTTAACTTTATTTATATTCACATGTATTATAATTCAAATTCAAATCTTATTGGTCACACACACAACCATACACAGCATATACAACGTGCAGTGAAATGAGATTTTTCAACTGTCCGTGTCATAAAAATAGAATTTAGATAAAGCAGAATTTACTTGTATACAAGTAGAAAAGGAAAAATATAAAAATATAATATAAAGAATATAAAAGAGGGATAGCAGCAACAGTATGGACTATATTTGGAATAAAGTGCAGATACACTATATGGCCAAAAGTATGTGCACCCTGACCATCACACCCATATGCACTTCCTCTACAAACTGTTCCCACAAAGTCTGAAGCTCACAGTTGTATAGAACGTCTCTGTGTGCTGTAGCATTACAGTTTCCCTTCACTGGAACTAAGAGGCTCAAACCCTGTTCCAGCATGACAATGCCCCTGTGCACAAAGCGAGCTCCATGAAGACATGGTGTGTGAAGGTTGGAGTGGAAGAACTCGAGTGTCCTGCACAGAGCCCTGACCTCAACCCCACTGAACACCTTTGGGATGAACTGGAACACCGACTGCACCCCAGACCTCCTCACCAACATCAGCGCCTGACCTCACTAATGCTC